GCCAGTTGGCGCGACGGCAGCGTGGGCAGCGCCCAGCTAGCGGGCGGGTGCAGAAGGGACTGGCAGTGGAAGTGGGATGAGATGGGGTTCTTCTCAGGAGGTATCTTTTTTGGGGATGTTTCTGGGCAGTCTGGGGTTTTCTGTGTGTTTCACCTCTCGTTTTACCTCTTGCAGCTCCAACTGAGTCTTCCATTGAGGAGATCTTTGAATCACAGAATTCAAGGATTCCCGGAGCCATTGCTGTGTGCAAAGCATCAGTTCTCCTCTCTTTCATTCATGGTTTCACTGTTTTCAGGACAGTTTTCTTCCTGCTGGAGCCGGCTGAGCCTGACCTTACCCATGATTAAATCTTTCAGTTTCTCTTCCAGAGCCAACTCTCATGCCTGAAAACTTTAAAAAGAAAGACGTGGTTGAAATTTTGTCCCACAAAAAGGCCTACAACACATGTAAGTACACATCACGGTGAAAACAGCCCCAAAACGGGCCCAGAGATGGGACCGGGGATGTAGAGAACTGGAAAGGTAAAAGGAAGGAGGCCACATGAGCACAGTCCCATGAGCGCAATCCCAGCACAGCTCTGCTGGTCTGGGCTGTTCCTGCAGCCCAGAGCCCCTCCGCTGGGCTCAGTCCCGGGCAGGGGCAAAAAGAAAGCGTTCCAAGAAAAGATGGAGATGGGATGTGACTCATTGGCCCTGGGAGGGAGAGGGGAAGAGCTCACATGGCCCCACGGGGCAGCGAGGGTGTGCAGGAAGGGTTGGCACTGCTTCTCCAGGTGTGCTCCTGGTAGGAAGCAGGGTGGGAGGGCTTGGTGGGCGCCTGCGAGCCCCCAGTCTCCTGGTAGGAAGGAGGGTGGGAGAGCTTGGTGGGTGCCTGCGAGCCCCTGGTCTCCTGGTAGGAAGCAGGGTGGGAGGGCTTGGTGGGCCCCTGCGAGCCCCTGGTCTCCTGGCCGTGGGGGACGTGGGAGAGGAGGCGGCGCTGGGGAGGCTTCGAAGCAGGGTGGGAGGGCTTGGTGGGCGCCTGCGAGCCCCTGGTCTCCTGGCCGTGGGGGACGTGGGAGAGGAGGAGGCGCTGGGGTGGCTTCCAGTGCAGCCCAGCCTGATGCGTTGGTGATGGACGTGCACATGGTGAGAAGCCCTGGAGGGGTCTGCAGGAGCGGAGCCACTCCTCAGGGTCCCCGTGCAGGGGCTGCAGGGCCTTGGAGAGCGGAAAGCGCTTCCTCTCCCAGGGCTGAGCCCATGCCAGCTCGGGCACATGGAGAAGCCCATGCCACTCTCGCACCGTGGAGGGACTGGGCTTCCCCTCCTGGCCCTGTCCTGCCCGGCAGTCTGTCCCCGGCACAGCCAGGCCCGGGGTCTGGTCTCCCTCCCCTCTCAAGTGACATGTCTCCCTTCCCCCCAGCCATCCTGATAGCCCACCTCAAGCTCTCGCACATGGAACTGCGCCAGATCCTCATGACGATGGAGACGGACCGCCTGGAGCCTTCCCACATCAAGCAGCTCTTGCTGTACGCCCCGGACGGGGAAGAAGTCCAGCGCTTCCAGAGCTACAAGGAGAACCCCTGCAAGCTCAGCGAGCCCGACCAGTTTGTGCTGCAGGTACCTGCGGGCAGGGACGTGCTCCGGGAGCGAGGATTTCTGCATGGGCAGTGTCCCCAGTGTGTCCTGCTGAGAGCTGGCGGGGAGGAGAACACACAGCAGGGAGGAAGCAGCCAGCAGGATGCTGGTCTGCTCCTTGGGCGTGCTGTGGGATGGGAAGAGCTGGTGGCACTGGTCACAGGGACCGATGCCTGGTCCTAGCATCACCCGCAGCACAGAATCCGTTCATACTCAGGATTTTGTGGCTGGTGGCACAGCAGATCATTATGGTGGCGATCGTTCCACTACCATCTCCCTTAATTTTCCTTTCCGAGCGATGCTCGGGCTGGTGCCTGAGGCATCCGGCAGCTCCCACAACGGCTGGGTTACAGCCGAAGCAAAACACGATGGGTA